ACTGTATTTAAAACTGCTCGTGTTATTCCTATATATAAAAAAGGTGACAAACGTTGTGTAAACAACTACCGGCCCATATCTTTATTATCTCCATTGTCCAAGATATTAGAAAAACTCATGTATATTCGAATGCACAAATTTATAACAACTTTTCATCTCCTATCGGAAAACCAATTTGGCTTCCGATCTGGCAGATCAACTGAATTAGCCAATCTTCAGTTTGCACATAACACCCTTTCTAATATGAATGATGGACTTCTTACAATTGGCGTGTTTATTGATCTCAGTAAAGCTTTTGATCTCATTGATCACACTCTTCTATTACGTAAACTTGAAGCGCTTGGCTTTCGTGGTAAATCTCACTCTTGGTTTATGTCTTATTTACTCAATAGATACCAGTATGTAAGAGTTAATGATGTCAATTCCCATAAAATCTTGGTACCTAAAGGTGTCCCACAAGGGTCTATTCTTGGACCCTTGCTTTTTATATTGTTTATTAATGATTTCTATTAAAACCATATTCAAAATTCTTCTTTATGCTGATGATGCTAGCTTTTTCTATTCAACTAAATCACCTCTGAAGGATTCGGACTTACTTAATTATAAACTAAAACTTATTACTAACTGGTTTTATACCAATAAACTAAAAATTAACTATCAAAAATGTAATTATATGATTATTGGTCCGAAGATCCTTACCGATACTTTTGGTCCCTTAAATCTTCATTTGAATAACCATTTAATGGAGAGGTCTTACAGTACAAAATTTTTGGGTCTAATTATCTCAGATAATTTATCTTGGGCTGAACATATTAATACTATTTCTTCTAAATTAAGCAAAATTTTAGGTCTTCTTTATAAAATAAGATACAAACTTAATAAAACTACTTTAATATTGTTGTAAAATGCATTTGTTTTTCCTCATCTATCATATTGTAATCTTATCTGGGGCAATAGTCCTGCTGTTCATGTCTCAAAACTATATAGAATTCAAAAAAAATTTATAAAACTATTATTATATTTAAAAATTACCACTCATGTTGATGAATATTTTTCTTCTTTAGGTCTTCTTACAATATACAAATTACATATTTTTATTGTTGCCTTTTTCATGTTCAAATTTGTCAATAATCTGCTGTCATCTAATTTCTCAAATATTTTTTCACTCAAACCTTCACATATTTTTAAATCTACTCGTCATTTCATTCCATATATAATACCATTCAGTAGACTAAAAATTTTAAATGATAGCATATTTATTCTTGCACCCAAAATTTGGTTTACAATTTTGCCTCTATCTGTTACAATTATTTCAAAACCTCGTCTTTTTAAACAACATTGTAAAACTTATTTAATGTCTGATAAACGGCGATTTTTGCAACTATAGTTGTTTTAACCTTATCTAAATCTTATTTGAATAATTTTTGTATATGAGTAATATCAATGATCTGAATAAAACTGTCTTTGTATGTATGTATGTATGTATGTATGAATGTATGTATGTATGCATGTATGTATGTATGTGCGTATGTAGGTATGTATATATGTATGTACTCTTACTTTTGAACTATATTTGGTTTCATATCATTTAATTTATTGAAATGCTATAGAATCCTAAATTCAAAACTTTAATTTTATGTACTCATTTTGAACTATATCTCTGTTTCATAAGATTAATAGAAAAGAATCTGCAGTTCAATAACTTTTGATTTATTTCGATCTAGTTTAATCCTTGATTTTTGTCGAACTATTTTAATTTTTGATTTTTGTTGATCAATGTTGATTTTATTTGGATAGGGTGACTTTCTTACAAGCATTTGGTTGCTTTTTTAGTTTACCCCTCTTTTGAGAAAATAAACGAATTGAAAATAATTGAAAATTGAATTGAAATATATATATATATATATATATATAAATAAATGCCTAATAAAAATAAAATAAAGAAACTCTCTCTCTCTCTCTCTCTCTCTATATATATATATATATGTTGGTAATAGACCATAATTTTTACAATATTCTATAAATTCTACCGAATGTTTGGCGTTAATATCTTTGTAGTTCGTTTTTTCAATTTTTCTCACTAGAGGTTTTTGGTGAACGTTTAGTTTATTAAAATTCAAAATAAACTTATTGCTTGATGTTAATTGCTTCTGCAATTTTAAGATGCGTGTAGTTGCTGTTCTGGTATATTACTTTGGTGTTACTGTCGAGGATTTCACGGCTAATAGTGATTGAGTGTGTTGAGTCCAAATGAGATTTGATAGCACCACTCTGTTTATGCATCGTAAGCCTTCTAGTTAATGAGGTAGTAGTAATCCCGATATATGAGTCATGTTGACGTGCACAGCCGTCAAAGGGGCAATTAAATTCATATATTATGTGATTACGCCTTAGCACAGAGTTATCTCTAGGACTACAGTTGTTTTTCAGTATTAGGTTAGACGTCTTTTTATTGTTGTAATATATTCGGAGTTTAACTTTATTATTTTGGTTGGTTGGTGTGACATTTTTATTGATGATATGTTTAAGAATAGCTTCATCTACTTTGTATACAGTTGACATTTGATTTCTGTAATACAAGATGATGTCGTTATCTTGATTGTAGATACTAGGAAGGTTATTGTTATGTAGTAATTTGCCTTTAACAATCTTTTCAATAGAATAAGTCTTATATCCATTGTTTAAAAGCAGGTTAGTGACTCTTCTTAATTCGGCGTCGCGATTTTCAATATCGGAGAGTGTGTGAATGCCCGGTTTACAAATGATTTTATTGTGCTGTCTTTAAATTGTTCGGTACATTCTCTTTGTCCATTCAAACAAATTCCTGTATTTGTTTCTTTGACATAGACCGCAGTCTTGAATCGTTCTTCGCCACGGGTGACCAACACATCAAGTAAAGGTAAACGTTGTTCCTTTTCAATTTCAATGGTAAATCTTAGTTTTGATTTGTTTAAGGTACCAAAAAGTTGGGTCATTTGTTCAGGATCGTTATAGGAGACAAAGATATCATCAACGTATCTAGCGTAGATATTTGATTTTAAATTTGCATTGTTTTTGAAGGTCTCATTCTCCAGATGTCCCAAGTAAAAACTGGCAAATAGGACGTCAGTGATGTGCTTTTTTATTTTCTTAATTATTGTGTTTAATTTAGTTTTTAATTGAGGAGTGGGATCTTTTTTGATCACTTGGAACTTTTTTGTATCTTTGAGAACATCATTGAGTTTTTCATGATAATCGGTTCGGCCAATAATGACATATTGTGCAGTAACATCTGCGCGTCGTAATACGATATCTTTATTTTCCCTTAGTTGTTTCGCTGCATCTTTCATCTCGTCAGTGAGTAGCTTGCTTTGAAAACTACCGCGTTTATAGACATCATTAGCTTTTCAATCTCAATGATTTTCTCAATTTTGTGGGTTTTTTTTAGATAGTGGCAGTTTAAACCTAAGTTTAAGAACGCTTTTTGCTTGTCTGTAAGTATGTGGTGGCTAAGATTGATGAATCATTTGGGTATCAGGTTGGTCAGTTTTTTATGAAGTTTTAGTTTTGATGATTGTATATATGCATTTATAAATTCTTTCCGGCATAAGTTTAGTTCATTCTTGACACTGCAGTCAACATCACAGTGATCCCATTGATTCAACAATTCAGTTAGTTGATTGGACAAATCTAGAACTACCTTCCTTTTAACTTCTAATTCTCGAGAGAGATGGAGCAGTCGCTGCTCGCGATCTTGTTCGATTGTTAGATTGCGTCGGTTGGTCGCAGAACTTCGAGTAAATGTTGGTAACAGACCATAATTTTTACAATATCCTATAAATTGGCGTTAATATGTTTGTAGTTCGTTTTTTCAATTTTTCTCACTAAAGTTTTTTGGTGAACGTTTAGTTTATTAAAATTCAAAATAAACTTATTTTCCGAATTCATGCTGCAAATAAGACCATATTTCGATTCCAAATGAATCATCATCAGTGCTTTCTGCTGTTTATATAGGGAAATATTGACTTTGTCAAAATGAGTTTAGATGGAGATTGACTTTGTCAAAGTGAACTTAGATGGAAATTAGGTGTCAGGTTTCTTTATTGGCTGGTCATCTTCTTTGGTCTCCTTTTCTTCTTATTTATATATACATTCGTTAGAATTTATAGAATATTGTAAAAATATATATATATATATAAATGCCCAATAAAAATAAAATAAAGAAACTCTTTGTATTCTGTATTTCTTATGACAAAAACCCATTTTAACAAAGGCATTCTAATAATAATAAAAAACCCATAATATAAAAACAATATAAAAAATATTTGAACATTAACTAACGATAGTTAAAAAAATAATATATTTCAATGGTATCGCCTATTCTGGTGCAAAAAAATTGATGGCAAAGAAAACAACGTCCTACCTCGAAGAAAGTGGGTCTCCGGATGCTAAACTAAGATTGATTGATATATAATTAAAAGATTTAATATTTTATTCTAATATATAGGCTCAAAATTAAAATCTATTTTAACTTATATAAAATATATAAATAATACTTCTAAATTTCATCTGTTAACACTTAATTTTACTTTTAGTTTTTGGTTACTAGAGTCAACAATATTTTAAACTGTATTTCAAATTGGAACACTGCTGCTGGCAGTTTTGTCGAAAAAATATTTTTTGTTGCATTTTAACTATTTTAATTTTATTAGTTTATATTTAATTTATTTCAATAATTTAATTTTTATCTAAATATTTTATTTTTAAATTAATAGCAATAAAATGATTATAAAACATTTTCTAATTTAATTAACAAACTAAATATTAAATTACAATTTATTATTAGAAACTAAAAGTAATAAATAATACTATAGCGATTGAAGTTAACGAAAGTTGTATACGACGTAATGGCCTTATACCTAACTATATATATATATATATATATATATATATATATATATATATATATATATATATATATGCATTAACTACTAGTAGTAACTAGACAAATCCTGGAACACAATGTTGAAATCTTACATTACAAATTTAATAAATGAACTAAATATTAAATAACAATTTATTATAAGAAAAATAAAGAAACTAAAAGTAATAAATACTAGCCATTATAATTTACGACTAGCCGAATCAATACTCATTTTTTGTTCGGGATTTGTCTAGTAACTAGTAACGTCCTACCTCGGAAAACTGGGTCTCTGGACGCTAAACGAAGATTGATTGTCTAGTAACTAGACAAATCCTGGACCACAATGTTGAAATCTTACATTACAATAACAACCATTATAATTTACGATTAGCCGAATCAATACTCATAGAACAAAGACATCCGATAATAAATATTCAACAAAGGGCAATTGGAATTCTTCTTACCAATAAATTTAGAAACAGAGGAATCACGGAAAGTGTTATATTTATCAATAATGAGATCGATAATGAGAACACATAAGAGTGTGATAATTATCGATAATGAAAAGATATAAGTGTTAAATTTTACAATGTTGAAAGACTGTAAAATTAAATATTCACTTTGAACAAAAAAGGAACCAATAAATAGGCACAGTATATGTAATCATCTGGGCACAACCACAACATATCAATTTGAACACCGAAGATGGTGTAGGAATACCGAAAAAAGCTTTTCTATTCTATCATGCATAAAATAAACTAAAATTTTGACTTTGAAATAAAGAAACTTGAAAATGATTCACGATCAACCGTTAGAAAAGTTGGAAGTTAACTAACGCCGAACGTGCTGTGATTTTCATTAAAAATTGCATACATATATGTATACGAATGAATGTATACGAATACTAAGACTCTCGTCAGCACAACAGTTGGAAACACGGATGCATTTGACATCGGCGTTGGAGTTCACTGTTATTTATAACTGTGATGGAAGAAATCACAAAACCGATACGCACTGGTGACATTTGGAATCTATTATATGCTGATGATATCGTTTTAACAGCCACGTCTGAGCAGAATGCAGCACAGATGTTTGAAGATTGGAACACCAGACTCGCCGATCATGGATTCAAAGTCAACATCAGCAAAACCAAAGCAATGAACACTGGTGAACCTATCCTATCCACAGCTACTGGACGATGGCCCTGTTCAGTTTGTAAAGCTGGTGTAGGTAACAATTCAATCAAGTGTCATCAGCAGTGTAACCAGTGGTGTCACAAACGTTGTTCAAAAATAATTTGTACTTTATCTAAAGTGTCCAATTTTGTTTGTCCTGCTTGCATCAATCCACAATAACAAATTCGAAATAGCAATGTTTTGGAAGCCATTAAGATAGAAAAAGTCACATCGTTTCAATATCCAGGGGATGTTCTGGATTGTACTGGAACAGCTGAAGCTGCCATTCGAGCACGCATACGTGCAGCCTGGAATAAATGGCATCTCTTTGCCTCTATATTGATGCGGCGTGACTACGATCAAGACTTTATAAATCTGTGTTACGTTCGGTGTTGTTATATGGTGCAGAAACACGGCCATAGACAACCAAACTGGAACAACAACTTCAACGAACCGACATGAAAATGCTCCGATGGATGCAACGAATTAGTCTGAAGGACCACATCAAATCTACCGAAATCTTCCGTCGTGCTGGTTTATTTGATATAAAGGACGAATGCCGGCAACACCGTCTGCGGTGATTTGGTCATGTCAAACGAAGTGGAAACAGTGCAATAACTTCTCTTGCAGATGTTGAAGTACCTGGCACACGTCCCAAAGGCCGTCCAAAGAAGTCCTGGTCGCAAACAATCGAGCAAGACATGAAAGCTCTAAATTTAAATGAAATGGATACAACTGATCGTCTAATTTGGCGCAAAAAGTTGTTAGCAAAGAAAACAATGTCCTACCTCGGGGAACAGGGTCTCTGGACGCAAAACGTAGATTAATTGATTGATCAGGTGTATCGGTATGAAATAATAATAATAATATAAACATTTATGAAGCGCCCATTCGCATAGCTGCTTCAGAGGCGCCCGGAGCCCGTGTTAAAAAGATGAGTCTTTAATCCCTTTTTGAAAAGACTCAACGAGGAATATTGTCTCAACTCAGGAGGTAACGCATTCCAGACATACCGAGCAGCGTGACGAAAACTGCGGCCAGCCAGGCGGGATCCGGCAACGGGAATGTTTAAGAAACCTGTTGAGCTGCTGCGGAGTGATCTAGTATGTTCATGTCTGGATATGATGTCGTATAGATATGTTGGGGATTTTAATAAAAGGGTTTTGAAGGTAAGGACTGCAATTTTGAAGATGATTCGAGCGGAAGTGGGAAGCCAATGAAGCATTGGAAAGAGAATGGAAGAACTAAAACGAGGAGGTCTATTAAATATAAGTCTAGCAGTTTTATTTTGGATAGTCTGTAGTTTTCTGACAGATGCACGTGAGGCCCCATATAATAAGGAATTGCAGTAGTCTAATCTAGAAAGGATCAAACATCTGCAAAGGGCAGCAGCAACATCACATGTAATCATATGTCTAATATGTCTTATTGCGCAGAAGTGATAGTTGCAGGATCTGACGATTTCTGATATGTTTATTAAAATTTAGATGTCTGTCAAAAGTGACCCCAAGCAACTTGATCGAACCCGAGATAGGCAATGTGGACCCTGCTATGTCCATTTCCTCGAGCTGAAACCTCGACAGTTGTTGATATGTCCCAATGACCATAATTTCAGATTTGTTGGGGTTGAGAAGAAGAAAATTATTAGCATACCACCAATAAACCTCGCTAGTACAATTGCTTAAGACTCGAATGCTGCTTTCAAGATCGCCAGAAGTGACAGATGCATGCAGATGAGTGTCATCGGCGTAGTGATGAGAAAATAATCCATTTTTACTAAAAATGTCGCTGTCAGGAGACACATAGGTAGTGAACAAGATTGGACCGAGGACGGAACACTGAGGGACTCCAGTGTCGATCGAGCAGGTAGAGGAAGTCGGGTTTCCCAGCTTCACAAACTGCTGTCTGCAGTTCACTCACTACTTTCACTGCTGTCTGCAGTTCACTCACTAAAATTCACTACTTTGATCTTTTTTTACAGGTTAAAATTTTTTGAAATAATGCCTTTAAATTTTAAAATAAAATGAAGTGATAAAAAAATTATAAATGTTGTACCTTTGTTGCATAATTGTCAATTTAACTTGAGTCAAATTTTTGCCTAATTTTAAACTAAAAATCTATTCTTTAAAAAAATTACAATAAAATGTTAAGAATGAAAATTTTTATTTCAGAAGTAGTTGCTGTTGAACAGAATTTCTGCATTGCTTGTCGATCAATTTTTCTAGTATGGTTAGAGCAAATTCGAATGAAGTGCCTGGTCCTCTGCTTGTGATCAGTTTATTGTCCACAACAACTAAATCCTCACTGTATACATAACCTTGTATAAATTTGGCGTTAAAAATAATAAACACAGACATTCATAGTCTAGAAACACTTATTAAAGTAAATTAAATATAGTAAAATAAAATAAAATTATTATTCAAGTTAATTCAATATAATACATTATTATACAAGTGAAGATTCTCTTTGTAACATCGTTGTTTAAAATATTACTTTAATTATACTGGAAGTACATAGACAATTTAAAATTCATCAATCAATCAATCAATCAATCAATCAATCAATCAATCAATCAATCAATCAATCAATCAATCAATCAATCAATCAATCAATCAATCAATCAATCAATCAATCAATCAATCAATCAATCAATCAATCAATCAGGTTATAAAGCGCTATTTCCGCGATGTTCAACAGCGCTCCTCAATGAATTTTGAAAATAGATGGGTCTTCAGATCCGCTCTGAACTTCGCAAGTGATGGAGAAATAGTCAGAGAAGTAGGTAGAGAGTTCCAGAGAAAAGGACCAGAAAAAGCAAAAGCAGATTTGGCAAAAGAGTGTTTAACACGAGTTAAGAAAAAGCGAGAACAAGAAGACGATCGTAAACCGGGGCGTTTAGGATCAATTAATATATCTGATAAATACTTAGGAAATAATTTAGATTGAGATTCATACATAAACGTGCAAATTTAAAAAATTATTCTTTATTTTATAGGTAGCCAGTGTAAGAGAACAAGATATGGAGATATATGAGAAAAGAAAGGGGCACGAGCAACTAGACGAGCAGCAGAGTTAAAAGCTTTACTTAAAGGATAGAGTGTAGAGTCAGGAAGACCATAGTAGAGCGAGTTACAATAATCAATCCTAGATAAGACTAACGAAGTAACAAGAAGGAGAAGAGTAGGATCATCAAGAAAAGGCAAAAGTTTTTTATTCTACGTAGATGAAAGTAAGAGCTTCTAGCAATACTATTAATCTGAGATGAGAGAGACATAGTAGAATCAAAGATAAAACCTAAACTACAAAACTTATGAGACATCAATAAATTTAGAATCAGGTAAGATAATAGTAGGAATAGTAATAGAGTGTTTAGATTTATTAAAACAAATTAATTCAAACTTAGACGGATTAAGTTTAAGACACATAGTCAGACTAAGCGATAATTGAAGAAAGACATAGAGATAGATTATGAAGAACACTATTGAGATTACATGGAGGAATAGAAGTATAAGAATTATCAGCATATAGTTGACTAGAGAAAGAAAAGTTATTAATAATACGATTAATATATCTGATAAGTACTTAGGAAATAATTAAGATTGAATGTGAAAATTTAAAAAATTATTTTATAGGTAACCAGTGCAAGAGAAACAAGATATGGAGATAAATGAGAAAAGAAAGGGGCACGAGCAACTAGACGAGCAGCTGAGTTAAAAGCTTTACTTAAAGGATAAAGTGTAGTATCAGGAAGACCATATTAGAGCGAGTTATAATAATCAATCCTAGATAAGACTAACGAAGTAACAAGAAGGAAAAGAGTAGGATCGTCAAGAAAAGGCAAAAATATTTTTATTCTGCGTAATGAAAGTAAGAACTTCTTGCAACAATATTAATCTGAGAAGAAAGCGACATGCTAGAATCAAGATAAAGCCTAGACTACAAAACTTGTGAGAAACATCAAGAGTTTTAGAATGCGGTAAGATAATAGTAGGAATAGTAATAAAAACGCCATTATTAGAAAAACAAATGCCAATTATTTTATGTCGAACAATATAAAAATTATGAAACCTGATTCCGTTAACTGTTTTTCAAAACTCGGATATGATGTCACCTTATTTCCTGTCGCTATTTTATGGGTGGCCAAAACTGTAGGAGCTGAAAATGACAGTGGTAGAGCAGTTTTAGTGAGCAATATGTTTCAAAATTTCAGGCCTGTCACAGGCTTGGTGATCAAAAATTTATCAACATTAAAAATTTTTACCACTATCTGCTCGAGCTTTTTCCCGTAATAATAATAATTATTATTATAATAAAACAGATCAAAAAAATTCTTAAAAGATTGAAATTTTACCAGCACAGATACAGGCAATGTACTTATTTTGTTGTTCAAATTTTTTCAATAACTCTCCAACAGCATTGCACTGAAAATTAATGAAAAAGAGGTTTAAATTAATACACAGATAACCGTGAATCAACAAGTAATAATTACTAATCCGTAAAAAAATTTTCAAACTAAAGAGGCAAGTAAAAATAAAATATTTGTAAAATTTTTTCAAGTTAGAAGTATTATTTTTTCCATTAACGTTGAAAAAAGCGACCAAATATGGTAAAAACCAATTGCAAAATTAGAAATTAGAATAATATTTATGAAATCATCTACTTGTACAAGCTAGTCAAAAAATGAATTAAATGTACAACGCCGACTGATAAACTATATTCCATTTTTTAGAAACCAAAAAATCAATGAAACTATTATAACTGTAACCTTAAGTTGGCGCTACTAGAATTTTAGTTATTTATAAAACATAAAATATTTTGAGTGAAACAATACATTAAAATGCAAGCAGCTACATTAACCGAATGTTTTTGCAACGTATATCATCATCATCTTCTTCACCGTGTACGTTTATAGGCGCTCAATCCTGGAAGACAGAACCGCCCAGTTTTCATTCCAGGGTTCGTTGACGAGAGCCCGGAACTGGCTTTGTTGCATGATCACGGACATTTAAACGCCTTTCTCATTCTTCTCTATTATGACCAGTTCTTTTTTCAGGCTCAGTGCCCTCATGTTCTTTGACAACACTTTTTCCCAGATGAGCGTGGGTCTGCAAATTTTTCTTAAACCGCCAGTTATAATAGTTCAACATTTTTTGACCCAGTTCTCATTTGCTCATGACCAAACCATCTCAGTTTAACAAACAATTTCCTGTCTTTTGTCGAGGTTTCATTCAAACCATAGCGTCGTTTGCACGACAATTTATCTCATTTTACAAATAGGGAAATTTGCTACGTTCAAGAGTATCTGAATTCTCTCCGTTCTACAAAACTTTGGTCTTACCAACATTTACCTTTAAAACCTTTCTTTCCAACAATATTTTCCACATTGGTAGCCTTTCTTCAAGTTCTTCATCACTCTCGGCTATAAGAAACAGGCCATTCGCATATAATATCTCCTATAATATCACTAGCTTCTTTAAGCCTTTGCAGTACTTTCGTTTTTCTGTCACTACTTCCACCCTAGCTTTAGTATAAACTCAAATACCAGGAGCTTCCATCATTGGAAAATTAACAAGACATAAGGAAATTAACGGTACATCAAGAAATTATCAAGACATCGAAAAATCATCTGATCAGGAAATAATTTAGTATCGATAATCTGGATCGGTACTGAAAAATTGAATTTCCCAAGTCAAGCTTGAGAAATCATGCTAAATCCAGAATTTCCAAAACATAGGATTGTTAACGCTAATGCCTAATCAGGCCTAACCTTTTTTTTACAGACTTATCATATCTTTTTTTTTGTTAATTTTGTTAGAGTAAAATACAATTGCAATACCATTTGATTCTAGGAATTTTCCGTCCCGGAGTTTTTGGTCCCCTATTTAAAATTTATATAGAAACGTCAGTTTATTTATACAGCGCTATTTCCGTGACATTCAACAGCGCTCAAACGTCGTGCCGAAGCACGCGCTATTCACCGCATCACATAATCGAACTACATAAGTTTTTGAATGTGGCATAGCATGCATTCGAACCCGGAGTCCACGCTCGTAACCACTAGATTACACCTGCAGCTCAAATCAAATGGATCGTGTTTGCATTCAAGTAAGTGAAATAGTGATTGTATTGCTTTGAACAATGGATTACTACTTGAATTGTATTCAAGGATTTTCAGGTGATATAGTAGTTCATGACATCCTTGCATTTAGTTAGGGTTAGAGGTATATTACAGAAGGTTATGTAAGCATCTCTACGCCACGCATTTTATTAACCACAAGCACTTTTTTAATATGCTTAGATTTTTAAATTGCAGTGTTGACATGGATCCCCTTACCTCATTTTTTTGTGTACTAAAACAGAGGTGGGCAAACTACGGCCACAAATCTTAAAAAAGGGTCGAAAAATTTATTCAAGTATATGTGCGGCCCTTCAAAGGTAAAATAGTTCTCAATGCGGCCCTTAGAGCAAAAAGTTTGCCCACCTCTGTACTAAAAACATTGGGGACCTAAAATTTCGGGACTGAAAATTCCTATATAGTGAAATCTGTGAATACCTTCAGCTTATATATAAGTGATAAATTTCTGTTGAAACAGATGTTGAAAAAGAAACATTCTAACCTTCGAAAGATTCTCAGCTCCTTTCAGTCCACCAGGCAGAATTAATATGTCGAAATTGCTAGAATCAACTTCAGATAACGACACATCAGGCTTTATGACGACATTTCTGCTACACTTAACAGAATCAGCTCTCGTTAAACTGGCAATTGTTACATTTACCTGAAAATTGTGAATAAAATATTCTCAAAAATTGTTCTATTAAATCTAATATTTTTCTTATGTACTTATAGTGTATTTTTGGCACTATACTAAATCTGAGTGATTAAAAAAAATTGAAAAACTCATGGACAACATGACAAATTGTGAATCTGAAAAGAATAGTACTTAACCAATTAATCAATCATACATTCATTTATTCATTCCTAAAGCGCTCATTTTGTGATGTTCAACAGCACTTTTCAACGAATTTTGCAAACAAATTGGGCTAGAGCTCCGCTCTGAATTTTGTGAGCTATAAAAAGATATTAGAACCTTGTGATTAGTTTAATTTTGTAAGATGGTTATTAAATTATTTTTGCTTTCCACTGAGGTTAAAAAAAGTGATAGTAATTATAAAATACTTCGACAATTCATGTAAAATTTAATGTAAGCATTTTTTTTTGTTTTTTTCCAAGTTTATTTCTACCTCGACAATAACAAAACGAGATAATAAGGGTTTCAATTAGCGACAGAGTCACTACGTTAAATTGGTCCTTGTTAATGTTAAAATATACATACATGCATATTTTTTTTCAGATCTCTGTTCAGCAATGGATGTACAGAAGATATCACTCTTGGCTTTCTTAGATATGAGTGCGGCGTTCGATTGTGTTGATCACAGGATTCTTTTAAATAGATTGCAATATGGTTTTGGTTTTTCTGATGGAGTGTTAGAATGGATGAAATCTTATTTGGTTGGTAGATCTCAGCAAGTATCATTTGGGGGTAAGATGTCTGACGTCAGTGGGGCTGTCTTTGGTGTGCCACAGGGGTCGGTTCTTGGCCCGTTGTTGTTTCTGCTCTATACGTCAGAGGTATTTAACGTAGTTGAATCATTTGGGTTGACAAGTCACGCTTTTGCGGACGATATTCAAATAATAGTTAATAGTACAATAGATTCATTCCCGTTGGAAATGAAAAAATTGTAGAATGCTTGTCAGCTGTTGATTTATGGATGTCGAAAAATGGCTTGAAATTAAAACGAAATAAAACTAAACTTTTGCCGGTGGGAACATGGCAGCAGTTGTCAAAATTGAAGATAAACTCGATCACAGTTGATGAAGAGACAATTTTATTTTGTAACAATGCGACTAATCTGGGTGTGATTTTTGATTCGAATCTAACAATGAAGCGCCATATCAAGAGGGCTTCAAGAGATTGCATTTATCAGATTAGAAGATTGAATCAAATTCGTGAATCATTGAACGTCTCTACGCTTCAGACGCTGGTTCATGCATTTGTACACTCGAGAGTTGATTACTGCAACAGTTTGTATTATGGATTGCCGGACAAGTCCATCCGTGTGTTGCAGTCTTTGCAAAATCGTGCGGCTAGGGTTGTAGTTGGCGGTCGATGGGATGATCATGTGACACCTATACTTAAAGATTTGCACTGGCTAACTGTTGATAAGAGAATAATTTACAAAATTTTTATTTTGATGTATAAGGTACTCAGAGGTAGTGCTCCAAAGTATCTGCAGGATAGGATCAACTGTGATTTGCTACGTCCAACCGGAATTTATCTAAGATCCTTTGATATGAATCGGTTGATAGTTCCTGCTACAAATTTGTGTATTGGTTCACGAAGCTTTGCTGTTTCAGGACCGACTATCTGGAATGGTCTGCCGGCTTCGCTTAGGGACATTGGGTTGACCATGACAGGCTTCAGAAAGAAACTCAAAACATTTTTGTTTTCGTTACAGTGATATCTTAATTTTTGAATTGTTCTATAGTGTTTTTTTGTAATTGTGTTGAATTGTTACAGTTTTTTGCAGCCAGACAATTATTTCTACGTTTAACTTTATTTTAGTGAGGACATGTTTAATCTTATGTTTAATTTTGTGTTATTTTATATTTTGATGGCGCTTTTGAATTTTAACTAACTAGCGCTAGATAAATCTTTTGATAATAATAATAATAATACATGTCAATAAAAACCATACATTAAATTAGTATAGTTAAAAGAAAAATTTAAGAAAAAAAATTATAGCATAAAATAAATCTAAAATGGAAAATAGTAATTACACAATTTACACGAATAAACTATGATACAACAAAATTGAAATATTAAAGTGTGAATCAGCAACACGAAATAAGAAATTATAATATAAATGAAGAAATACAAAATTTAAAATACAAAAATCAAGAACGACAAATAAAAACGTTTCCAATTGTTTTTTAAATGATTAAAAGCTTCTACTCTCCTTCAGGTAGATAATTCGGTAAATTGTTCCAAATCGGAGGTACATAATATTGAAATCCTCGATTGCAGAACTTGTCCAAGATTAAATGACTTTTTATACTTATTTAATTTTTAGATCTAGTTGTAGTACCTTTGTTTATTGCCATTAGATTTTTAATATTCGCGTCCGAAATGGATCCAACGTTCAATATTTAAAAAGTGCAAGATTTCTAATTATTTAGTTCCAAAATATTTAATAGGTTATGATCTAAAAATTTAGTATAATTCCAAATTAAATTGCATAAATAAAGATGAGGATATAATATTAAATCATTTCCTTATGGAATTTTATTATAAAAATAATATGTTTAAAAGGAATAATGAAAAAGTGAGAACAAAAAGACAAATAATTAGAAAATAATGGGCAAATTTCAAAACTATTCTATATTTTATAGGCAGCCAGTGCAAGAGAACAAGACGAGTAAAACTTTAAATAACAACATTTTAAATAACTTGAAATCTTATGTGAGAAAACAATGAAAAAAATATTAAGGTAAAGAAATGACAAAAAAACTGCTTAACACTGCTAAATCTTTGAAATACAACGACAAAAGTTTCATAAGAAAATCAGACAAGTTAAATATGAACAATTATAATATGAGCAACTACCATGACAAAATAAATACCCTAGCAAACAATAACAAATTTAAAAAAATCAGCTCTGATCCATAACCGTACCTAAAAACACACTCATCAAAACTAGAAACAAATTAGTAGAGGATAAAATACGCCAATATAACTGGCGAAAAAAACGAGGTTACATTTACGGGGCTATAAAAACTCAAAATCCCTTACGACCTACCAGAAGCTAAGTTCCTATGATTACAACCAAATTGCAAAACTTGCAAACAAACTCATAACTCCAAAACACCCAGCTAGGAAATCTTACAATTTATGGACATCTTGTCGACTTCAAAGCCTTCTGCTACAAACAAAATATCATAAATGTGGATTCCATGATTTGTAATCAACTTCAGTTTATATTACTACTGTCATAAACTCATGTAAAACATTGTTTTAGCATTGAAAGAAACAAATCTAGATACCATATTTCAGGACAAAGAAATAAGGAGCAAATACCAAAAACATGTTCAACAGTTTAAAAAATCAAAAATAAAATTTTATACCTTTCCTCGAACCAAAATATCAGCAACAACAACAGTTTCTATTTCTTCGGCACCTTCTGCTAATAAAATTAAAGCACTGGGCATTTCTTTATTTTTTTTTTTGAGTGAACCCTTAAAAACTAAAAAAAGGAACATAACATCAATATTTAATTTTGAACACATTTCTATCATTCAATCTATCTCAAACTTCACCCAAAAATAAAATTATATTGAAAAAATTAAACACTTGGCATAATAGTAAAAGATTTCTATGCATCAAGTAGCCTAAACTACACCTTTATTGAATTTAAATTTTAAAACATTTATAATATCATATAATTTGAATAACAACAATAACCATAGGCACCAGCAATGGGATCAAAGTAGTTAGTTCTCTTAAATATATTTTCAAACAGGCAACATTCCATTTAGCCTCTCCCCCAAAAAATTTCGAATAAAATATTCTTTTTTACAAGTACCTAGTCTTCACTTCTTAAACTCTACAATGATCCTATTCAAGCGTTTCAACTCTAATCTAATATCTGTATTAGTTTGTTATGATTTCTCTTCGGCTTACGACACTGTAGATCATTGTTACCGTTTATCTATTCTCAATCAATCAATCAATCTTCGTTTAGCGTCCAGAGACCCAGTTTCCCGAGGTAGGACGTTATTTTCTTTGCCATCAACTTTTTGCGCCAAATTTGACGATCAGTTGTATCCATTTCATTTAAATTTAGAGCTTTCATGTCTTGCTCGATTGTTTGCGACCAGGACTTCTTTGGACGGCCTTTGGGACATGTGCCAGGTACTTCAACATCTGCAAGAGAAGTTATGGCACTTCGTTTGACATGACCAAACCACCGCAGACGGCGTTGCCTGCATTAGACCTTTATATCATCTAAACCAGCACGACGCAGGTTTTCGGTAGATTTGATGTGGTCCTTCAGACTAATTCGTTGCATCCATCGGATCATTTTCATGTCGGTTCGTTAAAGTTGTTTTTCCAGTTTAATTCTCATTGGCCATGTTTCTGCACCATATAAAAAGACCGGACGTATCACAGATTTATAAAGTCTTGAGCGTAGTGGTAGTGGGAGGTCACGCCGCATCAATATAGAGGCAAGGAGATGCCATTTATTCCAGGCTCGAACGGCAGCTTCAGCTGTTCCACTACAATCTAAAACATTCCCCTAGATATTGAAACGATGTGACTTTCTCTACCTTAATGGCTTCAAAAACATTTCTATTTCAAATTTGTTGTTGTAGATTGATGCAAGCAGGACAAACAAAATTGGACACTTTAGATAAAGTACCAATTATTTTTGAACAACGTTTTTGACACCACTGGTTACACTGCTGACAATTGATTGTATTGTTACCAACACCAGCTTTACAAACTGAACAGGGCCATCGCCCAGTAGCTGTGGATTGGATGGGTTCACCAGTGTTCATTGCTTTGGTTTTGCTGATGTTGACTTTGAATCCATGATCGGCGAGTCTGGTGTTCCAATCTTCAAACATCTGTGCTGCATTCTGCTCAAACGTGGCTGTTAAAACGATATCACCAGCATATATTAGATTCCAAATGTCACCAGTGCGTATCGGTTTTGTGATTTCTTCCATCAGTTATAAATAACAGTGGACTGAGAATCGAGCCTTGATGAACTCCAACGCCGATGTCAAATGCATCTGTGTTTCCAACCGTTGTGCTGACAAGAGTCTTAGTATTCGTAAACATTTTCATCAAGTCGAACAAGATATTCTGGAATGAGTTGTCGACGTAGACTCCACCTGATTGCTTAACGGGGAACTCGATCAAATGCTTTTTCAAGGTCTACATAAATGTATGATAGTTGTTGATGCTTGGCGAGGTACTTCTCTTGCAGTTGCTGAAGGATGTGAATTGCATCAATTGTTGATTTCCCCGCTAGAAAACCAAATTGATAATTTCCGATTGTGATGCACGACGTTAATCTTCTCTCAATGATTTTCTCGACAATTTTCAGGGAGTGTTCTAACAGACGTATACCCCGATATGATTAACAGTTCAATGGATCACCTTTGCCTTTGTATAGCGGAACTGTCATGCTATAGTTCCATTCAGTCGGCATTGAGCAATTTTTCCAAACTTCACGGCAAAGTTGTGGTAACGTTTGGATACCTGCAGTACCAGATGCTTTGATAATGTCATTTGTGAGTCCAGAGGGCCCTGCTGCTTTTCCATCCTTCATAGCTTTCAGAGCTTCTGTAAGCTCTTCTACAGTGATGTCTGAAATCGGACCTTCGATGGGTAGAGTGTCAAAGTTGACATTGATGGGATTTGTTTCATCTAACAGACGGTTGAAGTATTCTCTCCACTGTAGCTTGATCTCATCTTGTTCAAGAACCATCTAATTTTTGTCGTTTTTGATACACGAGGCACCAACTATGTTTTTCTTCGTACGCTTTGCTTCTTTTGCTATACGATACAGAGATTTCATTTGTTCACCTTTGCTTTTAGTGAGCCACTCTCTGCACTGATCTGTCCGAGCCAGTACGACTTGACGTCTTGCATAGTTATTCTTCTCACGAAAATTTAAATCTTATCTATTCTCAATAGTGTTGTTATTTGCCCGATCGTCAAGTTATTCAACCTACCGTAAGTTCACTGATTTCTGATAGATGAGCACAACTGCTTCAAACACAGATTTGTTTAAACGTTCATTTTAATGCCAACAGTAATAGAATTATTTGCGAATCACTATGTTTTTCACTGTCCCCTCCTGGAACACAATGAGTAGTAGCCTTTCCGTCTCTATGGGTTTGCCTAACCTAAATATTTTCTTAATGTCTTTGTCTGCACAAGTATTTTTAGCACGTGTTATATATATTGTACAATATTCTATAGATACTACCGAATGCTTGGCGTTAATATGTTTGTAGTTCGTTTTTTTTTCAATTTTTCTTACTAAAGTTTTTTGGAGAACGTTTAGTTTATTAAAATTCAAAATAAACTTATTTTCCGAATTCATGCTGCAAATAAGGCCATATTTCGATTCCGAATGAATCATCATCAGTGCAAGTTGATTTATATAGAGAAATATTTACTTAGAGAAAGTGAACTTAGATGGAAATTAAGTGTTAGATTTCTTTATTGGCTGGTACATCTTTGTTGGTTTCCTTTTCTTCATCGATAGCATCATATTCTTCTTTGTCATTATTTACAATGCTAGTTTTATTACTTCTTTGTTTTCATTGTTGATTAAGCGCCGAGTTGGGAGTGAGATTGTCATTTTTTGTTGTATTTATTTTTGGTTTATTAATGTCAATTAAGACTGCTTCTGCAATTATAAGATGCGCGTAGTTGTTCTGGTATATTACTTTGATGTAGTAGATACATACATACATACATACATATATATATATATATATATATATATATATATATATATATATATATATATATATATGTTGGTAATAGACCATAATTTTACAATATTCTATAAATTCTACCGAATGTTTGGCGTTAATATGTTTGTAGTTCGTTTTTTCGATTTTTCTAACTAAAGTTTTTTGGTGAACGTTTAGTTTATTAAAATTCAAAATAAACTTATTTTTCGAATTCATGCTGCAAATATGGC